CATTGTCACCCTAGTTTCATCAAAGGTGACATTCTTGCTTATGAAGCACCTTTATTCCCCAAGTTCCAGCTTCCATAACTTATACCCTTTCACCCTTTCAGGGTATCCAAGAAAATTACTCTTTATGGCCCTTGCTTCAAGTTTTCCTTGTCTAATATGCGCAAATGCCAATGATCCAAACACTTTCAAATTTGAATAGTCTGTTAGTTTACCACTCCAAGCCTCTATAGGTATCTTATAACTTAGGGCTGATGAGGGACACCCATTAATTAGATAGGCTGTAGTGTTTGCAGCTTCATCCCAAAAAGTCTTTGGTAGACCTGCACGTAGAAGCATGCATCCAACCCTTTCTAGAATAGTTCTATTCATTCTTTTTGCTAGACCATTCTGCTATGGAGTGTGAGAGACTATTTTATGTCTTCTAATACCTAGTTTCCTACAAAACTCATTAAATTGCTCCGAAACAAATTTTAGGCCATTGTTAATCCTTAAGGTTTTCAATTTAGATTCTAATTAATTTTCAACAAGAGTGTGCCATTCTTTAAACTTTGAAAATGCTTCAGTTTTATCTTTTAAAACATACAACCACACTCTTCTTAAGAAATCATCTATTATGGTAAGAAAGTATGAGCTTCCACCATGAGTTTTCACTCTAGAAGGACCCATATATTCAAATGGTCTTCAGACTTTGAGTCTTGCAATTTTTGCAGTTCCTTAGCCCTTATGGCAGTTTGAACTTTTTCCAACATAATATCTTAATCTTTTCCATACAAGATAGCATCCTTGAAATGCTCAAAGGACTTTGCCAATGAGTTTAGGAGCAAAAGAGCTTTATCCTCATCCTCAAGTTTCACTTCAATGTTATCCAAATCATCAAAGATCTTGTTGAACTCAGTCAGTTGCTCTGTGATCATTCTTGATTCTATCATCTTGAAGGTGTAGAGTTGCTGCTTTAGGCATAACCGATTAGCCAGAGACTTTGTTATGTACAAGAATTCTAACTTCAACCACATTGAAACTGTTGTCTTCTCCTTTGCAACCTCTCTTAGAGCTTTATCTCCAAGGCACAAGATTATAGCACTCCTTGCTTTATTTATCATCTCTAATTTTTCTTGCTGGCTTAAAAAACTTGACAGTTTTTCTTCTCCCTTAATGGCTCTAGCACAACCTTGTTGGATCAAGATTGCTTCCATCTTGATCCTCCATAACCCAAAGTCATTCTTCTTTGAGAACTTCTCAATATCATAATTGGTGGTTCCCATTCTCCTTGTTCTGAACCTTTTAACTTTTTTTTTCTTTCGTCCCCACAGATGGCGCTACTTGTCAGTTCTGATCTTTGAAATAGTTTACCTATATGGACCTGAAACAAAGAAACAGAACAAGAAACCAACCCAACATGCAACCTATCCAAGTAATAAAACCAAAAAAAAAAAAAAAAAAACCAGTCACTGCTATAACAATTTATAAGCTAGAAAATCACTAACCGCAAAAATCTATTTGTATATCAACAAATTATATCAAGAACAGAATAGAGAGAGAGAGAGAAGAAAAACATGAGATTTACGTGGTTCAGCCTAATTTGGCCTACGTCCACGAAAAAAAGCAGCGAATTAATTTCTCATTCATCATAGTGAATACAAGTGCGTCAAAATTGTTACAGATTTGATGATTTCTCTAAGTTTTTGCTTAAAACCTTACTAACATCTCTTCTGTAGGAGAAACCCAAGTTTACTCACTCTCAGTCTCTCTCCGATGTACGCTGATCTCACTTTCTTTTTATTTCTCTTTCTATTTCTCTTTTGCTCTCAGTCACACACATCTATTAATCACTCTTCAAAATATCTAACTAGTCATATATACAAGCCCAGCTATAGTCATGTGAAGAAAGACAGAAAAGAAATAAAATAGAATAAGTAATTACCCATTAATTAAAATAATCTCTAACCAATTTTCAGTCCCATTATTCTCACACACACGAAAATATGTGCAAATCTTTCAAAGATAATCATCAACCTCTAGAAGATCCGATAAACTATATTTTTTTTTTAACATTAAAGCTGTGTATATGACTATATTCTGCCTTTTCAATTTCTTAATAAACAATAGCAAAAGTAATTCCTTAAACAGAGGCGAATATTTTGTGATGTAGTAGATCTGTGAATATGGCACGTCAATCATATAAAATTAAACGTGGATAGTTAGTTGGATCCTCTTTGTCATATTACAATACTAATTTTTTAATAAGTTATTATTTCATTATATTTATTTTTAATCGTGTATGTCAATTATTAGAACAAAATTGAAACATCACTTCAGTTTTGTCCATGATACTATAAAACAACAATATCATGTAATTGATCCATTCAATTCCCACTATATTAATTTTTCACTTCTTGTAGTTTCATTCCATTTAATTAAACTCGTTTAAATCAAAATTTAGAAGTAATTAGTCAATTTAGAAGCTAACTAAAACATAAATGTTGTGCATGAATTAATTTATTTTGAGATTATAATTAAAGTGCTTGATTTTAGTTTACTATTTTTAAACCATGGTTTTACCGAAAATTATGAAAAATTTGCTTTCGCCCAAATCATAATTTAGTGCTTTAGAATTTGTGAATTCCAAACATGCATTACTTCTTTGGGGTGAAAGAAAAGTAAGATAAATATTTAAATACCATTTTTTAAAATATTTTATTATTATTTTTTAATCAAAATTAAAATTTCACTTTAATAACCCACAATAATATTAAAATAAACATTTTATTGATGTAAAAAATAATTAAAAATAATACTAAAAACACTTAAGAATTATATTTAAATTTTATAAAGAAATAATATTAATATTTAATTTAATTATTTAATAATATTAAAAATTTTAAAAATACATATTATAATTTTGTATTTTAATATAATAAATATTTTTAATAAAAAAAATTATTATATTTAAATACTTAAACTAAAATTTTAGGATTAAAGTTAAAAAATAAAAAAAACCAAACTTATAGTTTGACTGGTTTAGGCTTAATGTTTTGAGGTAAAAGAATTCACCTTACCAATTATGGAGAACCCTTGTGTTGGGAGAAGTGAACGTCGAAAGAAAAATAAAATTTATGGCTTCTTTTATTTAAAAAATTAAATAACTTTTAAAAAATATTAATGAGTGTTTTAAGATACTAATAAACAAATAAAAATAAAAATATGTTATTAAAAATATAAAAATACATTCACTATTATGTCTTTTTAATATATTTTAATAACAAATATTTATTAATATCTTGATCTGTGTTTTACTTAACCTTCAGATGCACTTGTTACATTTAAGTGATGTTAAAGTTTTTTTTTTTTTTTAATCTTAAATAGCAAAAAAGTTTTTTTATCTTAAATTTTTTGCGTACAATGTTAAGATATAATAAAAATTATTTAAACAATCTGGGCTTAAACTTATTCTTTACGTGATGTTTCAAATTTTCTAAGCAAAGTGACGATTATCACTGTCAATTATACTTGTTTTTATGGAATTTAATATTATTTTAAATAACTTTATTTTAAAATTTATCTTTAAATTAAAAGTTTTTATTACATAAATTATATCTATAAAATTGTTTAATACATTATTTATCTACATTAATATCATTGTAATATATAATTATAAATTATTTAAAAAAATTATATATATATATATATATATATATATATATATAATTGTTGGCGGTATAAAAATCTGTAAAACACTTTAAATCCAAACATGTGGTCAAAAAATAATTTACGTAAAAAATTACTTTAAAGGTAATTAAATAAAAGTAAACCCACATTGACCTTAAAATCAAAAACCTTATCTTGAAAAAAAAAATAATGCTACTCAATAAAGAAAAATAAAGGTCACTATCTATGCAAATCTTTCAAGGATAATCCTCAATCACTAAAGGATCAGATAAATTACTGCCTCTTCAATTTCTCAATAAACAATAGCAATTTCTTAAACAATAACAAATATTTGTGACGTAGTAGATCTATGAATGCCACGTCAATCATTTAAAATTAAACGACAGTTGGATGTTGGATCCTCTTTGTCGTTTTGCAATACTTATTTTTTTAATAATCTATCATTTCATTATATTTACTTTTCAATCAATTTTGTATGTCAATTATAAGAACAAAATTGAAACATCATTTCAGTTTTATCCAATAATATCATTTAATTGATCTTTTCAATTCCTACTATAATTTTCACGTCTTATAGTTTCATTCCATTTAATTAAACTCGTTTAAATCAAAATTTAGAAGTAATTAGTCAATTTATAATCTAATTAAAGCATAAATGGGTGCATAAATTAGTTTATTTAAGATTAAATTATTTATCTCATTAATATCTGGAAAAAAAACCCTTAATGAAATAATAATTAGCGCGGTTGAATTTAGTTTAATATTTTCAAACCATAATTTAACCAAAATGTTTTAGAAAATTTTCCCCCGAATCACAATTTAGAGGTTACGAATTTGTGTATTCCAACATGCATTACTTCTTTGGGGTGACAGCAAAATAAGATAAATATTTAAATACAATTCTTTAAATATTTTTAGTATTGCTTTTTAATAAAAATTAAAGTTTCACTTTAATAACCTGCAATAATATTAAAATAAACAATTTATTCATGTAAAACAATTAATTAAAATAATATTAAAAATACTTACAGAATTATACTTGAATTTTATAAATTAACATTAAATTTAATATTTAATATTAAAAATAACTATATATTATAATTTTTTATTTTTAATGTAATAAATATTTTTAATAAAAATTATTATGTTTAAATACTTAAACTAAGACTTTAGAACTAAAGTTAAAAATAAAAATAAAAAAATAACTAAACGTATAGTTTGACTATTCAAAGCCAATAATTAGACTTTTTAAGATGCAGACGCCAAAGCAGACCCATTTGGTTGTCTATATATAGGAAGAAGGTATGTATGGGAAGTAATTATCACAGCCACTTGAAGAAAATTAACATCATGGGTTCAGAAAATTGTATTGTTAAGAAGCATTATGTTTTGGTGCATGGTGCTTGCCATGGAGCTTGGTGTTGGTACAAGCTCAAGCCTCTTCTGGAATCAGCTGGTCACAAGGTCACAGACCTTGACCTTGCTGCTTCTGGAATCAACATGAAGAAAATTGAAGATGTTGATACTCTTTCACAGTACTCTGAGCCTCTGTTGCAGTTATTGGAAACAATACCTCAAAATGAAAAGGTAATTCTAGTGGGACACAGCCTTGGAGGGCTTAGCATAGCCCTTGCCATGGACATATTCCCAGAAAAGGTAGCAGTTGGTGTTTTCTTAAGTGCTTTTGTACCAGACACTGAACACAAGCCATCCTATGTCTTGGAAAAGGTTTGCTTCTGACCCCATGAGGATATTTCTGATAATTTTGGTAAATTGTCTCATGCTCCTGCTACATTTTGCTCCTCACATTGCTGCCCAATTATTCAAATTATGGAATCAGATCTATTCTTTGAGCACTAAAAAATATATATCATATGAGGTGTTGTAGGAAATTAAATTTTTCTCATTATTTTTTTTATGTACCCTTAAAAAATATATCTTTAAAATAAGAAAAGACAATTTCTGTTGTTCTCCTTTTTGAGAAAATAATTGAGTTAATGATACATGCTTAATTTTTTAAATAAAGTACTTTTATATAAAAATTTAATCTTACCATACAATAAATGTTTTTAATTTTAAAAGCCACCCGTCTTAGAAAGAAAAAGAAAAAGAAAACGACGCGGTCCACGAAAAAGAAGGAGATCAAATCAAAAAATAATAGAAATGTCTCAATCATTAACCTTTTTATTTCACCCCACACCGATTATAATAGCATGTTCGTTAATATCATAGTTGGACAACCAAACTTTTTCAATTTATAATTATATTTAAAATTTTTATCTTAAAAAGCATGACAGCTCTTATTAATGAAATGATTTTATTAATTGAACGACCAAAAATTCTGTATATAAATATTCCTATTTCTTTTCCTTTCTCTAAACAAATATTTTCCTTTAATGAAATGAAAAAGAGTAAATAATGTAGAGTTTTGACCAAAATCACCCAGAGAGTGCATTAGAAAATTTGCGCCTTTGTGAAAAACTTGCTCTTACTAATCTTCAACTTCTTTTATTTATTTATTATTATTTCAACAGTACAATGAGAGGACCCCATCAGCGGAATGGTTGGACACTCAATTTTCCCCGAGTGGAAACAAAACATCAATGTTCTTTGGTCCCGATTTCTTGTCCAAGAAGCTCTACCAAGTCTCATCCGTTGAGGTACTCACATTTTAACAACAATTATCTCCTTGTCTCATTTAATGCATACACGTGCTTGGGAACCCCCTTATTAGAGGTTTCTAGCCTTCAACTAAAAATGAAATAGTTTTTTAACATTTGATTAAGGACACATATTCATAAAATAAAAAATAGTAATGTTAACAATCATTCTATTTTAATGTTATTTATAAATTGAATTATGTGATATATTATTATTTTTAATAAAAATTTATCATAAATAGGTTTTTATTATGTCTTTACACATGTTATAAAATTATTTTAAAAAAAACTCTTTAGGGTCTTTTAATAGAAAACAATTATCTCTATTGTTTTTCTAAATTATAAAAAACAAGACTTATTTTTATCTTTATTAATTATTAATATTTTATATTCTTATTTATTTTGAAAATTATACTAATGAGACACTCATCCATTACTTACAAGTGAATATTATCTCTGGTCTTATTTACAAGAAATAAATACTCAATTTTTATTTTAATATCTATAATGTTAATTGATGTATTGTTTATTAAATAAATGAACGTGTTCACTTATAAGCCGGGTAAAAGGTAAGAACTTCGTTAATACAAAATATACGGTAAGGGTATATAAATCAATTTAACAATTAATGTATTTAAAAAAGAACCTTTATTTTTTAAAATTAGGATAAAAAAATATTGATAGTTATTTTTATAAATAAGATGAAAAGTAATATATTCATTCATTTAATGTATGAGTCATTAATTTAAACATTTGTTACTATAAATAATTTTAAAATATATATACTATAAATTTTTGACATATAATTAATTTTTATTTAACTTAATAATTAATTGTTTATTTGTTGAAAACAAGAAGGGGAAGAATTGTTTTTGTTGGGTCAAAGATCGAAAGTAATGAAAAGTAGTGCATTTTGCAGGATCTTGGACTGGCCAAAACTTTGGTAAGGCCAGGATCACTCTTTATGGAAGACTTGGCTCAGCAAAAGAACTTCTCTAAAGATGGATATGGGTCAGTTCCACTTGCCTTCATTGTTTGCAATGGGGATCTTGCAATTCCATTGAATTACCAGCTCTGGATGATTCAAAATGCTGGGATCAATGACGTTCTCGAGATCAAAGACGCAGACCATATGGCTATGCTTTGCAAGCCACAGGAATTATGCGATTCTCTCCTGCAGATAGCTACTAAATATGCATGAATTTGTGAAGTGGACTTTAGTTTTATTTGTTTTGTTTGAATCTCGTTCGAAATTACATGAGATCACGTCAGTAAAGTGTACTCTTGAAATTTCTGTGTCCTTTCCGATGCATGCATCTGGATATTTTTAATTTCAGTCACATATAATGTTGTATTCTTGTTTAAATTATGATATGTAAAAATAAATAAATTTATCAGATAAACGTGAGATTAATTATTAGATGAATGCTAGCAATATCTTCTTTAATGTATTTTTAATTATTAATTAAAATTTATTAAAAATTATAAAAATACAAGTGATAATCATTAAATTGAAGGACGGCAGCTAAGGGATTCAACCAAAGAGGGAACGGCAGCTAGGGTTTCTAAATTGGATTCCGTACGAGGTTTGTTAGGACTCGATAACTCGTTGCGCTGCGACTTAGCAGTGGATGGTGATTCAGCGACTCGTTTCTTAGTGTTTTTTGCTTTATCTTGAGAATCGTTTGGTTTTGGATGGAGCTGCGGAGCTTCCGCTGGGAGAGCTTCGGAGCTACGGCGCTCAGCCATGGCGTCGCGGTTGCAGAGAGAAAAAGGAAGGTTTGAGGAGTGTTAATTGTTTTTGTCGCTGCTGATCAGAAAATATTTGAATCTGAATACGCTGTCGCTTTTTGTTCATCGGTTTGAGTCTTTCATCGATGGACCCAATTTTCTTGTCCCTTCTTAATTTGAAACGCAAAAGAGAAGTTGGAGAATTCAATGGTGGAACGGAGGTCTAGGGAAAGGGGTAAATTTGGTGGGTATCTTTGAAAAGTTCTTAGGTTTTCCACGTCTTACTTTTTTATGAATTTTCTACTTGTTACCGATGTCTCAGCCTTGTGGCGGGTATTTCAATGGTGGGGGAAGGTGGTTGATGTTTTCATACCTCAAAAGAGTGATAAATTAGGACATCGCTTTAGTTTTGTGCGTTTTGTAAATGTGGTGGATGCCAAGAGTTTGGAGGTTAAGCTTAGATCTATTGTTATTGGCAGAATATGCTTGTCTATCAACTTGACGAGTCATGCAAGGAAGAAAACTGTGGGTACAAAGGTGTCTGTGGAGGGCAGTGAAACAAGACACTCCTTTGTCATAAGAGCTACAAAGACGTCAGGGAATACGTATGCGGACAAGCTTAAAGCACCCCGTCTAGTTAAGACACCAATAAGGCAGAAGTGGGTGGAAAAGAAGAAACCTTGAGCTCACCTTGAGTTTGAGGTGGATGAGGGGTGAATTGAGGAGTGTAAAGGTGCTATGGTCGGTCGCCTTCATCAAAAACAGGATTTGAAAAATATGCGAGGAGCTCTCTTGCGAGAAGGTATGTTGGATATTAATCTCACGACCATAGGTGATGATATGGTATTGGTGGAATCTGATGTGGGGGTAGATTTAGAGGATACAGTATCACTTAACAAATTGTGGTGGGAGAAATAGTTCTATGATTTACGAGAGTGGCACCCAAGTATGGTAGCTGCGCGGAGGGTGACTTGGGTACATTGTTATGAGGTCCCTTTGCATGCTTGGAGTGAATTATTCTTTCGTAAGTTGGTTTCTTCGCTTGGTGATTTTATCCAGATAGACCAAGTCACGGCAGAAAGGCGACGATTGGATTATAGGGGGATACAATTAGGTACTACCATTGCTGAGCTTATCAAGCAAAACATTACAGTGAAAGTCAATGATCGTTTTTACTCAATAGCCGTGTTTGACGAGTATGCTTGTGATGTAGTAGCCGCAATAGAGGAAGGCGTGCCTAACTCTTCTAAGGACGGCAATGACTCATCTGAGGTTGGTTCAATGGAGTTGGAAGCGTTGGATAACTATTCTAGTGAGGAGGAGGGTATGCTGCAAGGTGATATCGGAAGTAAGGGTCGTCCGGTTGATTCTGTGATTAGGGGTGAAGTGTCAGCAAAAAGGTGCTTGGTGGATGAGGGTTTGGGGGCTGGTGGTGTGGATGTTATGGGTTTGACGGTGGCTATCTGTGATGCTGTAAATGAGGCTTCTGAAAATGTGGAGAGGGGAGTCCCAATAGTAAGAGATGGGTTGAATTTATCAGACCTATTTGAATTAGATGCATTGATTTGGGAAAATTCAGAATCATGGGATATGAAGACAATTGAGACAGCGCAAATCGACCCCTTTCAATCCAGAATTGAGAAAGATAGGGTTAATGTGCATGAATCCCTTCGAAGGGCACGCTCTATGAAAGGTAGTCGAGGTAATGAAGAAGGGAAGAGGCATAAGAGCGTAATTTCTATAGAACCCCCTCAAAACAACCTTAAGAATCACAATAAAGAAGCGTCAATGCCCTCGCAACTTAGTAGACAGGTATCGCTTACTGATAAAGTCTCAGCTAATGCTTCCAAGAGCTCCTACAACTCGCATCCTTCCAATCCTTCAGTGGAGGTGGGGGAGCGAATAGCTACTACAGATTGTGATGATGAGGCAATGGCGTCGAGATTATTACACATTGGCAAGAAGGTTGGTTTGGTTGTACGTGGGAACGATGGGCAGGTTCGAGAGAAATTGATTAAGATGGAGGTACGTGATAGAATGATTGCAAAAGAACATGTGTGAGATTGTTCGCTCTGAAGGTCTGGAGTTCTTGGCGATTTAGGAAACAAAACTTGAGACATGTAATAGTAACTTATGCGCGTCTGTGGGGTTCTGTGGATTTTGATTGGTGTGCCTTGCCCTCCATTGGCAGAAGCGGGGGTATACTTTCAATTTGGGATACTTCCAAAGGTAAAATACTTTTCTCCTTTTCTGGTACTGGATTCCTGGATGTTTGCTTGTAGGTATTGGCTACTGGAAACCTATGTGTTATAGTGAATGTCTATGCATCGTGTAGACTAAATGAGAAGAGAAAGTTATGGGATGATTTACTCATCACAAGAAGAAGTTTTGGCAAATTTATGTGGTGTATATTGGGTGACTTCAATGCTGTAAGACAGGTGAAAGAGAGGAAAGGTTGTCAGGCAAACCATGGTATCTCTGAAATTGATGGCTTAAATTCTTTCATTCAGGAAATGGAACTTGTAGATCTTCCACTTGTGGGTAAAAAATTTACGTGGATAAAAAGGGATGCTTCTATGATGAGCAGACTCGATAGAGTTCTTGTTTCTAGTTCCTGGCTTGATTACTGGGGAGATGGTTTCATTCAGGTTCTGAGCAGAGATGTGTCTAATCATTGTCCCATTATTCTTAAGCACAAAGTGGTTAATTGGGGTCCGAAGCCGTTTCAATTTAACAACTGTTGGCTGACTCATAAAGGAGTTGTGGAGGTGGTGGATGAAGCATGGAAAAGAAATATTACTCTTCCATGGATTGCCTAGAGAGCTAGCCATTTCCGCGATTGTTTGCGGTGGCTATGTATTTTGGGGTGTTTTATGACTTATTCTTTAAGCCGAGTTGGCATATTCTTGGTTGCGTTCTAAGCCTGTGAAGTAGTCGCTAGCCTTTCGGAGTCAAAAAATTTGCTTCCTCGCCAGGTTTAGGCGAGGATTCCAAGCAGTGACATGCCAGGGATCTCAACTCCAAACTACTTGACTGATAACTCTGTATTTTGGGGTGTTTTATAAGTTACTTTTATATGTTTGGCCTATTTGAGAAGGAATTTGCACTGATTTACTTATTATTTGTTACTGTTTAGCATAAAGAGGTTACCAGCACGACCTTTCTTCACAAGTAGTCTAAGATTGTTTCGTGACCATGCATGGCTATGCACAACCATGCTTATGAATCTACAATCAATTTTGAATTGGGATCTAAAACTTTGAGATTGACATATCAGATATCTGTTAAAACAGCAATGACTATTTCTCCCATTTACCTAAATTTAAGGAGCAACAATAGTGTTTTACTTTTATTATTTTTCTATATTTGTTTACCGTGAATGTATTTGCACAAATAGTTCTTTTTTTAGTCTTTGTATTTCTAGAAAATCTACTTATTATAAATTCTTGTAACAACATCTTGTAATATATATATAACAAAACACAAAGTAATAAGAAATACTCAAGCTGCTTGGCACCAAAATTTCTTCTCTCCCATTTATTTGTTATTCAACAATTTGGCATTAGAGCAAAAAGTCAAGGGCTACCTTGCTTCAGCTAGCATATAGTGTGCATTCTCCTTATGGTCAAAGATCGTTATGAAGTATCGTTAGCAACATATAGTCAAGGGACTGTGATGTTCATATTTGTTGGTCTGGGACAATGACAAATATTGTAACTTTAACTAACTCAATGGAAAAATTGAACAACAACAATTATGATACCTGAAGCACAGTATTAAATATTATATGTTTGGATAAGACTTGTGGAATGTTATTGGTGGTGCTTAAACAACTGCACCAAATGATAATGGAGAGAAAGTCAAATGGGAGATAAAAGTTGGAAAAGCTATATATGTATTTTTCATCACCATAGAGGATGAGTTCTTATAGTGAATCAAGGACTTGAAAACACCCAAAGAGGCTAGGATACCCTTGCAACTTTATTTGCAAGGAAGAGTGATGCAAAGTTGCAGCTATTAGAGAACGAACGCATCTCAACACAGCAAAGTGACATGACAATAAGCTGATATTTCACTACAGTGAAGTCTATTTCCAACGAATTTGCAAAGTTGGATTCGAAGAGTGTAATTAATGGCACAAGAAAAAGAAGGATCATTATTCATGGTTTGAATCCCAAATATCATGGGATTGTTACAGCTACTAGAAGATGGGCAAATAAGTCTACTTTGACGAAGCTAAAATATATTCTGGCTACCAAGAAGCTTTAGACAAACAAATGTCTAAGGTGTCTGACAATATTTTAGGAACTCAATTTGAAAACCTCTTTTATTACTATTTGACAAGGAAACTTGTCTATTACCAAGTTGAAAAATGAATCCCTCTCTCATAATATTTTTATCCTTTTTGATTGCTTGCTAAGAATGAGACTTTCCATCCTTATTATGATCTAACAAATTATCTCATTTCACATATTTT